CCCTCAAGGAAGCTGGGAGGGGGTAAGAGGGACGTCTCTTGCATGTGATCCTGGAGGAGACCCTGAAAATAAACACGAATTCATGCTCTGGGCTGTGAGACAGATGGTCTCCCTGCCCCTTTGGATTCCTCCATCCCCCATCACCATGTTCCCTTTCTCACCTGTTTACAGGAGGAGCCGACTGAGCTGGGTTCGAGTCCCTGCTCAGCCAATTCCATGTACCTTTAGACAGACCCCTAACTTTTCTGTGCCTCAGTTTCCCTGTTTGTAAACTAGGGATCGTACTATCAACTTTACAGACTTGTGGTGAGGATTAAGTGAGATTATGCAGATCAAGGATTTAGGGGAGTGGTTGCACATGCTAAGTGCTCAGTGAATGACAATGACACTGGTCTCAGAAGTCAAGGGCCCCGGTCTCCTCCTCCTTTCTCCCCCTGTACATTTCTTTCTTGGACTCTACTCACCACCCCGTCCACTCCAGCAGTCCCAGGCTTGGCCCCAAATGCCAAGACCTCCCTCCACTGGCTGATCCCAGACCATATTCCACATTCTGAGCTCAAGCCTGGCCTGAGTGGGGAGCTGGGGCAGAAGGCAGGGCAGGAGCAGGGCAGGGCCCTGGGCTCAGCGGGTGGAGGGGGCCAAAGGGAGGAAGTGAGGAAAGCTGGACACGTAGGCCCGCAAGGCTGGGAAACTCCTCAGTGCAGCTGGGAAGCAGGGGGAGGTGGGGATGGGCCCCAAGCTCACAGGCAAAGGGACACTGAGGGCGGAGCCATGAGTCCTGCCAAAGCAGTCTTGCTCCCTGCCATAAAGTCCAGCAAGTCAGAAGCCACCCCTCCCCCCAGCCCAGGCAGGGACTAGAGGTCCCCCCAGCCCACTCTCCATGCACCTTAAGAGAGGGCAGCATCTCTCCCTGAGAGTGTGGGCCCCTAAAAGGGCCTGAGCTGTTGGCGGCAGGGGCAGGGGAGGCCTGGAGCCAGCGCTGGCCTCAGCTGGCCTTGAGCTAAGCTCACAGGAGCAGAGGAAAGCCAGGGCCAGCCACCGGAAAAAGAACGGGGAAGTGGCAGCGCTGTTCCCACCAGGGTTAAGGAAAATGGTGCCTGTCATAAGGCAGGTCCCCTGGGAGGCTGGGTGGAAGGGAGGCTAAGAGCAGACTCTGGCCAGGGCTGCCAAGTCAGATCCTGGGTCTGACGCTTTCTGCTGTGTGACCTCAGGCAAGTCATTTAACTTCGGTGGCTAATTTTTCATAGGTGTGACATGTAGCTCTAATAGCACCCATTTCCTAGGGTGTTTGTGAGGGTTAAGTCAGTTAATGGCTGCAAGGAGCCCCCTGCATGGTCCCCGGCATGCAGGCCTTAGCTCTTATTACTGCTCCTCTGTGATCTCTAGCCGGTACCCCACATATGTAAGGAGGGCACCTTCCCTCCCATTTTACAGATGAGGAATCTGAGAGAAAGCGGGTAAGCAGCTCACAGTCACCAGGGGAGTCAACCACAGAGCCTGGATTCAATGCCAGGTTCTTGGGACCCCAGAGCCTGGCCAGATCTGTCCACATTGACCCCTGGGCACTCAGTCTGGCCTCACCCTTGGCATGACCCTACCCAGCCCCTGAGAGAGGGGCTGGTGCTTCCAGTAGATTTGGGGGGTCATTATTTCCTACAGTCAAAGACGGAGCACTTGTCAGGACTTGCGTCCTGGTGCTACTCCCTGTAAACTTCATCATCACCAGGAGCCCAGGCCCAGTCATCCCTGGTCACCTGGACTTCCAGCTGCTTCCTGCTCTGTACATCCCTATTCTGCCCGACCCCCCTCACCCCTGCCCTCCCGCAGTGCCTCCTCCAGCCCCACCACCTGCCTGCTCTGTGCCTCTGTCAGAGCACCTGAGGATTGCTGGAGAACATCCCATCACTTGGCTGTCTGGTTTCACTTCAAATTCATGGCCACAAACCTCAAAGGACATGCAACACTGCCAGAACTCCTGCCGCAATGCCCTGGGCAGTGCAATCTCCCACTCCCTGAGGGGAGCATTTCTGACCCTCTCTTTCCTTCCCAATCATTTCAGTGGCTGTGCCCTTACCCCCTGTATGATCTTGGCAAGTTACTGAAACTTTCTAAGCCCCAGGTCCCTCCACTGTGAACCGGGGATAATAATAGCGCCTCTGCTGTAATTGTTATAAGGACTGTCTTAGCCGGCTTCCCTGAAGCAGAGCCTGAGACAAAGGCTTACATGAAGGTTTATTTTGGAATATGATCCCAGGGAGCAGGAAGGAGGCCTGGGGAGAGCAAAACAGAGAAAGATGGAGAGCCAATACGCGGTGGCCTATGGAGGAGCGGGTCCCTGCTATGGCGTCTGCATGTCCAGTCCCACAGGACTATCTGAGCCATATGAAGTGGCTCAGGGCAGAAAGTGGAAGCACTTATACCTGGCCATCATTGCCCACCTGTGTAGGGTAGCCCAGCAGGGCGCTAGCTGCTCCCACTTATGTATGAGTGAGTCCTCGAATGGGTTCCCAAGGGTGCCCCTGCCACACATCAGAGACATTCCGAAGCCAGAGGGGAGAGATTTGCAGCCAGAGCCCGAGGTGAGAGTCTGCCAGGATGCACCTGTGCAGAGTTGCGGGCCACCTGCGCAGAACTGGAATAAGGTGCGGGTTCACGTAAGAGGTATTCAACCAATGGGACAACGCACATAAAAAACTTTTTACAGGGTCTGGCACGTTTTAAGCACCCAAAATATATTATTATTTTTATTAACATAATCATCATCTCCTGCTGAGGCCCAACCTGAAAAGCTGATATTAGCATTCTTTATCCACAACAGAAGGTAGCGAAGCTTCTAGAAAACTCACTCTATGAAATAAAAACCCAGGGCCCTGAGGAAAGAGTGTTATTTGCAGGGGCATTTGAGCTTCCACTGTGAGTGATCAGTGTGAGCCTCTTTTGTGCCAGGCATCGAGCCAGATACAAGGAGATAGTGATGAACGAAACGTGGTCCTGGGCAGGATGCCCCATGTGGGCCGAGGGAAGGGGGAACAGGGCTCCTGGCAGAGGGAGGGGTGTGAGCACGGGACCATCCATGCACACAAACGTCAGGCTTGGAATAAAGGGCTCAGGTTCTCCGCTGGAATAGTGGAACCAGATGCAGCCATCCTGACCAAAAACCAGCCCTTTTTTCAGAAAGAGAAACATTCTGAATAGAGAAAGAAAGAATGACTCGGGCCCAGGCTTGAGTCCTTACTTGGCAGGATGGCCCCCCGTGTGGGTGGAATGTGGCCACAAGGAGGGCATGTGGGCGCAGTAGTGTGTGTTGCTATGTAGGGCAGCAGAAGGGCTCCAGGGTTTAGAGTCGGTGAGTTCTGAGTTCAAGTCCTGCTCCCCCATTTGCTTTCTGTGCTGGCTGTTCTCCCTTTCTCCCTGCTCCCATTCCTGCTCCTGCCTCTCAGCACCCTACAGACCACATGGCTCTGGCTTTTTCCCTCTGGTTTCCTGGGGGTTCAGCCATGAGAGCACGGGCAGGGCTGGGGGGCAGGAGAGGAGAGTGGTTGGGGTGATTCTTCCCTCCTCCTGCTCACCGTGGGCGCCCCCTCCCCTTGTCCCCTCAGCCCATGGGGTAGCAATGACTTCCTGCTATTGTCAATCCCTGGTCTTCAGCATCCATTGTTGATTCTCTGAACTGTGCAGGCAAATCTGGAAATAGCCCCTTCTTTAAGTTCTCTTTAGCTAAAGCCTTTGGAGGGGAATTCTATTTTCTCCTGGGTCCTTAGCACATATACTAACCTTACCACTTATTCCACTAAGTCATTCTAACTCCCTAAGGCAAAATCTTTCATCCGTAAAATGAAGTCGTAACCCCTACCACAGGTTGGGAGAGTCCATAACGTGTGCCTGACATATGCGTGGCACGGGGGGCACAGAAGACCCCAACACAAGTTGCTCCCCATTCCTTCCTTCCTTTAGGTTGTACTGTCAACAGCAGCAGGTTAGTTTTCTCTCTGGATTTGGTGGCAGGAAGCAAAAGGATGCTGTGAGGAGGGAGGGAGAGAAGGGATTAGTAAACGATTAAATTTTTGTACTTCAGTTGATATCTTTCCAATCATATCAGTTGTAACAAATGAAATAAGATACCATGAAGGTATGAAGGCAAAGTGCATCACTGTGTCTGCTCCAGCCCCCTTGCTTGCCCATCCACTCCCACCCCAATGTGACCCACGGTAACAAGGGTACGTTCTTCCACACCCTTCACCTGGCTCCCACACTGCATGCAAGCGTGTGTACACTGCATGATTTCATTTGGAGATGGTACTTTGGAACAGGCTGTGCAAGATCCCAGCCTCCATCCCCACCCTCCCACAAGGCTTGCCAACTTGTCCCTGAGTCACCTCTCTCAGTGGCTCCCATCTCAATCTCCTAATTTCCTTACGACCCTCTCTCCCTACTTACGACATTATGTCCACCCCAGGCAAACGATACCCCGGGGTTGACCGGCTGAGCAGCTGCAGGAGGTGGGGGATGTGCTGTTTGTCATGGATCAGAGATCCTAATTCCACAAGTGTATCCCATAGCCTGGCTACCCTTCCCCTAAATTCGGAGTAAGTAGCCCATTAGTCTGCTTTCAGGAAGAGCCTCCTCTGCCTGTCCTTAAAGTGCCCGCAGGGGTCCACCTCACCATGTTCCGGGAACCATGCCAAGCTGCAGCAGGCCAACTTGAGTAGGAAATGCCAGCCCACACGCTTGACCGTCACTGCTCACAGGTGAATGCTCACAGTTGGAACCGAATACTTCCTTGTTGAATTGAACCTGCTGGGATTTTAGCAGTGTGTGTGCTTTATCGTTTCTGCTTTTGGCGTTGAGAGACCAATGCAATCAGACTGCTTCTCTGAACCCGCAGTAGAGCCGGGACCTGGGGGGTGGGCAGGAGGTTTCCAGGCGCCCACAGACAGGGACCTGCAAGCCTCGGGGTCCTCAGCCTGGAGGGGAGCTTGCCCATCACCCTTGTACCTGTTCCCGCCTAGGGCTTCTCCAATCTCTTTTCTGACTTTGTTTTCTCAAAGACTGATCCTTGGGGATCCCGTCAGTGCTTGGAGAAACGAAGAGGGTGGGGGAAAGAGGGAAGAAGATAGGCGTGGCTTCCTGCCTGCACTTTTCTCTTCTTCCCACCGGTTTCTCTTCCTCCTGTTCCTCATGGTCCTGTTCTCAAGCTTCAACAAAGCCTTCTCCGGCAGTTCTGGGCAGCACTACCACTTGGACCAGCAGAGTCCAATAGAACTTTCTGCAGTGATAGAAATGTTCTATATCTGCACTGTCCAATACAGTGGCTCCATGAGGCTCCATGGCTCGTGCAATCGAGGATCTGAATTTTTAATTTTATTTCATTCTAACTAACTTTAATAGAAGTAACCATATGCAGCTAATGGTTGCTATACTGGATAGCAGATATTTAGACCACAAGGCAACTTTGTGCAAATTAGTGAAAAGTGCAGCTTCTCAAGACAGCTTGCTTCCTTCCATTGGCTGGGGAAGTTTTGTAATAGATCCACAATGGCTACGCTGTGAATGAGGCCCCTTAGAGTTGTGTGGTGCACAGTCCTATGTGGCAGCCCCGGCTCCAGGGCCCACCCCCAGATGGCAGTGGTAATGACCACTGTGCTGGGAGTACTCAGTGGGAGTCAGGCACAGGCTAGGTGGGTCAAGGGATTATCAGAATTCATCTGACAGTGGCTCTAGGAGGTAGGTGCTGTCATGGGCCCCATTTTACAGGTAAGGAAACTGGGGTTTGGAGAGTTTCAGCAGCTCAATCAAGGTCACTCAGCTGGAGAGGGGAGGGACTGGCACTCCATCCCAGCTCTGACTCCTAACCACTATGGAGATCTCTGCCTGCTCCTCTCCCACCATGCGTGACTTCTGCACACTGAGAACTTCCACCGGCCCTCCTTCCACAGCACTGGGTCTTCACTCAGTTATAAGGTTCAGGCTTACTTTTCCTTGCTCACTGGGCTGGGAGTGCCCCGAGGGCAGGTCAGCTTTGCCAGCTCTGCCGCTGCCCTGCTTTAACCCCAGAGGACGGCCATGGGGGCTGTTTGGCAGGTACCAGTAGATGGGCACACTCGGGAGTCTCTCCTCCCACTGCCTCAATCCTATTGCAAAACCCAAGGACTGGAAGGTTGGGGGGAGGTGCTGGTACTGAGTCTCAGGTTCCTTTGGCCCCTGTCCCTGTGATCCCGGCTTTGGGTCCCAGGGTTCAGACCTCAAACAAAGGCAAGGCCTGCCAGGGTCAAGCAGCGAGCCTCAGAACTGGCCCGATCCTGTGTGTGGTTCTGAGGGGCTGGATGGAGGCTGGTGAGTCGAGGGCATGGCCTGCACTTGTCCAGGGCCCTCTGCTCTGGGTTAGCTCAGTATCCTCAGCCATTCTCCCGACTCCCTTGTCAGTCAGGCTCTGAGCTGCCAACACAGGCCTTCCCACACAGGCTGGCCAGAGCGGACACGATCTCACAGGACTGTGAGCCAAGACTGGCCAAGGGGCTTCTGGCCAAGGGCCTGGTCTCATCCGGCACTGCAGCCCCACCCCACAGTTTAGAGGCAAACAAGACCTTAGATAGGGGCTGAGGGAGGGGGAACGGCAGCTGTTCCTTTCAGGTAATATGAAGAAATGGGGTCAGAAGGCAAGCGGGGAGGGGCAGTGGATCAAAACCACAGCTGGGGCCAACTTGAGGCACCAGATGCCCCAGAACCCAGGGATACCCTTAGGTTCCCCTTTAAAAAAACATTGGATTCGGGGAGGGACAGCCCCAGTGGCCTAGTGGTTAAGTTTGGCAGACTCCACTTCAGTGGCCTGGGTTCAGGTCCCAGGTGCAGACCTATACCACTGACCTGTTGGTGGCCATGCTGTGGCGACCGCTCACTTACAAAAAATAGAGAAAGATTGGCAGCAGATGTTAGCTCAGGGCAAATCTTCCTCAGCAAAAAGAGGAAGAATGGCAACAAATGTTAGCTCAGGGTGAATCTTCCTCAGCAAAAAGAGGAAGACTGGCAACAGATGTTAGCTCAGGGTGACTCTTACTCAGAAAAAAAAAAATTTGTACCAGCTTTATTGAAATATAATTCACATACCATAAATTCACCCGTTTAATGTGTGCCGTCCAATAGTTTGGTACTTTCACAGAGTTGTGCAACGATCACCACAATTAATTTTAGAACATTTCATTCACCGCAAAAAGAAACCGTGTACCCTTTAACCTCCACCTCCTGTTTCCCACCACCACCCAACCCCCAGTCCTAGGCAACCACTCATTGACGTTGTTTCTCTATGGATTTGCCTATTCTGGACATTTCATATAAATGAACCACACAATATGCTGTCCTTTGTGTCTGACTTCTTTCACTTGGCTTAATGTTTTCAAAGTTCATCCATGTTGTAGCATATGTCAATTCTTCATTCGTTTTTGTGGCCAGATAATATTCCGTTGTTTATACACTGAATTTTATTTTTCCATTCATCAGTTGATAGACATTTGGGTTGTTTCCACTTTTTGGCTATTATGAATAACGCTGCTAGGGACATTCATGTGCAAGTTTTTGTGTGGACATGCTTTAATTTCTCTTCGGTATATAAATAGGAGTAGAATTTCCACATCATGTGGTAACTGTATCTTTAACCTTTTCATGAACTGCCAAATTGTTTCCAAAGTGGCTGCACCATTTTCCATTCCCACCAACAGTATATGAGGGTTCCAATTTCTGCACATTGTTGACAACACTTATTATTATCTGACTTTTATTATAGTCATCCCATGGTATGTGAAGTGGTATCCCATTGTGGTTTTGATTTGCATGTTCCTAATGACTCATGATGTTGAACATCTTTACATGTGCTTCTTAGTCATTTATATGTATTCTCTGGAGAAACGTCTGTTCAAATCCTTTGCCCATTTTTAATTGAGTTGTCTTTGTATTATTCGGTTGTAAGAGTTCTTTATATATTCTAGATACACAAATCACTTATTAGGTATATGGCTAGGCAATACTTTCTCCCATTCTGTGGACTCTCTTTTCACTTTTTTGATGGTGTCCTTTGCTGCACAAAAGTTTTTAATTTTGACGAAATCCAATTTGTCTGCTTTTTCTTTTGTTTCTTGTACTTTTGGTGTTGTATTTAAGGAACCATTGCGTTATCTAAGGTTAGGAAGATTTATGCTTATGTTTTCTTTCTTTTTTTAAGGAAGATTAGCCCTGAGCTAACATCCACTGCCAGTCCTTCTCTTTTTGCTGAGGAAGATTGACCCTGAGCTAACATCTGTGCCCATCTTCCTCTACTTTATATGTGGGATGCCTGCGACAGCATGGCTTGACAAGCGGTGCATGGGTCCACACCCGGGATCCGAACAGGCAAACCCTGAGTCACTGAAGTGGAGCACGCAAACTTAACTGCTGTGCCACCAGGCCGGCACCCTTATGTTTTCTTAAAAAAGCTTTATAGTATTAGCTCAAACATACAGGTCTTTAATCTATTTTGAGTTAATTTTTGCATATGGTGGGAGATATGGTTCTGTTGTTAGGTGCATATATGTTTATAATTGTCACCTTTCTGATGGATTACCCTTTTATCACTATAAAAGGTCCCTCTTTATCTTTAGTAACTTTTCTTTGTTTTAAAATCTATTTCGGGGGCCAGCCTCATGGCATAGTGGTTAGGTTCGCATGCTCTGCTTTGGTGGCCCAGAGTTCATGGGTTCAGATCCCAGGCACAGACCTACACATCGCTCATCAAGCCAAGCTGTGGCGACATCCCACATACAAAATAGAGGGAGATTGGCACAGATGTTAGCTCAGGGTCAAAAAACTATTTTATCTGATATTAGAATAGCCCCTCCAATTTTCTTAGCATTGCTGTTTGCATGATATCCCTTTTTCTGTACTTTTACTTTCAATCTATTCGTATTTTTACATCTAAAGTGTGTCTCCTATAGACAGCATATGTGGAATCTTGCTGTATCATCTGGTCTGATGACCTCTGCTCTTTGATTGGATTGTTTAATCCATTCACATTATTGACGTGGTTGTATTTGCATTTGCCATTTTACTTGTTTTCTAAATATCTCATGTCTTTTTTTCCCCTCTATTTCTCCTAGACTTCTTTCTTTCACATGAAGTGAATATTTTCTGGTATAATGTTTTAATTATTCCTTTAATCAGTTTTTTACTAGATTTTTTGAGTGATTTTCTTGGTGGTTGCTCTAGCATTTACCTGTGGACAGCTTACAGTACTGCCCTCCTGTCCCATCCAGGTAAGCTGTCCCCAGGAAAGGTCCTGGCAGAGCTTGTGGGTAGGTAGGTTGCCTGAGGAAGGATGGCCTTGGACAAGGGGGCCACAGGGAGGAGGACCGAGGCATTGAGATGGCCACAGGGTGGCCCCTGAGAGTGATACAGCGGCTGCAGCTCTGATGGAGCATCTGGGGCTGCACAGTCCTCGGGATCACCTCAGATTTCATAAGTCAGGACAGATGTCCAGGTCCAGGAAAACACGTGTCCTAAGCTCTGGGCATGGCTTATTGGTAGCCCTGTGGTCAGGCTCCCCTGGCAACTGCCCCTGCTGCTCCATCCTGCCTCTGAATACATCCCAGTGTAGACCCCTGAGCAGGTCCACATTCCCCTCTGCCCCCAGGGACCAACAGGCTGTGGGGGCAGGGCTCAGCGGGAAAGCTGGCTACCCTCCTTTCCCCAAGAGCATATGAAAATTCGAGGCATGATCTGGGAAGTGCTGGAGGGCAGACAAAGGGACGAGAGTGGAGCGAGGGGATCTGAACACGAGGAAGCTTTGGGCATGGGGGGCTGATGAATGCTCCCGCCTTCCTGGTCCAGCCAGCAGCCCTGCTGAGAAAGCAGAGGGTTCTTTGGGGATAGACTTGGGGGCAGGGAGCAGGTGGACCACGGGATGAGGTAAAGACCCAGGGCTGTCTACACACCAGGAATCAGGGCACTCCCAAGGGTATGGCCTCCTGCTGCTCATTCAGACTTCCACAGGGACCCAGACTGAGGGTTTTAGGGGTCAGAGTTCAGCCCCTGGTTGGGGCATGGGTGAAGCTGAAGCATAATGAAGGGCACTCTTCCCTTTAACATTTACCCCTGACCCCTGCCC